CCAGCTGAAGAATCGCTGCAAGAGCTCGTGCTTGCATACGATACGATCAGGTATGAACCGCTTCCGCAGTTCTAGATACGCCCATGCACCATTCTCGCCGTGCTTCTGGTATGCTTCTTGAATCAGTCGCTTGGCCTTGTCTGCTGTCTGCAGGGCGAGGAAGCCGAACAGCCATCGGAGGTTCTTGGCGTTGGAGCTCTCCTGCTCAATCAGCATTGGCTGTCCCTGCTGGTTCACCACGGGCTGATTATTGCCATCCGTCTGTGGCATTGCTATCTTCATCGGCGGGACATCCTCATCTTTAGTAGGTAGATGGACTTTCACATCCATCTCTCTTGCTGCTAAGTAGGCCCTGAGAGTAAAGTCCCATTCGCGCCACTTGATGTCGTTCTCGCCACTCCTGCCGGTAAAGATGGGGAAGGTGGCTTTTGTCTCGAGATTGAGTGTCATCTCTGCTGTCTGCTTTGTTGATGTTGTTGTTGTCTTTCTTCAGATACTGCTAGTAGTTGACTGCTGCTGATACTGCGCAAGACACTGATAGACCTGTTAGGATCTGTCAGTCAGCTGGCGAGGACTTCGGCTCAGATAAGCAAGAACCAAGTTGCTGCGCCCATGTGCGAAAAGGCCGGTGAGGACCTTTTCTGTAGTTAGCTGAATAGGGGATCTGCTGGGCGGTAAACTGTTGTCGGTATGGTGCCTTGTTTTGGCTGCAGCGGCCATTTTCGAGTCGGACGAATTCTCATCTTGTTCTACGGCGACGGTGCGGCCCTTTTCCGGCGAGCGGGAGGGAGCCATGACATGTATGGAATTCCGTTTCAACGCGATGACGAACACAGTCGCGCCCGCGTACTCACGCATCGACAGACACATCAAAAAGACACGACAAAACACATACACAACACACACACGGGCAAGACAGCCAGCCAGGAGGAAGGGGTGGGTGTGTGGGTGAGTGTGTCGTGAGCGTACGTGTGGTGGGTGGATGGGTGGGTGAGTGGGTACGGACCCACCTCTCTGTGTGTGTTCGGACGGACGAACCCAAAAAATCACTTCGACCGAGTGACTCACTGACCTGTGTTGCGTACCTGTCCTACCATCATCCATCCATCCATCCACTCATGTATGCATCCGTGTATCCCTCGTGTGTGGCCTGCCTGGCCTGCTTGAAGGCACTTATCGACCGACCGGCCAGCCAGCCGTTCCTTGCTTGCTCTGTGTGGAAAAAGATCACGCAACGCTGATAAGACGGTAGGTGGAGTGATTGGTGGTGCTTGCTGTGGTTAGTGGGATGAACGGACGTACAGTGTGTCTGTCTGCAGCCGACGACAGAGACAGAGACAGACATCCATGAAACCAGGCAGTAAGTGGATCTATCTGATGTAATTACGTCATGTGCATGAATGCATCCATGTGCCTACCACCGCTTTTCCATCAATTGCAGCCGACGTGCATGTACATGCATGCATGAATGCATTTACGCAGGCAGACAGGCATGTTAATAGTGCCTGGCTTCGCTAGCTATCGACACCCAAGCACAACACACACAACACGATGGCATGTATGCATGATGGCATGTATGGATGCATACATGAATGTACGGCAACCTGTGAGCCAGCCAACTCACCTCGTCTCACCACCACTGCGACGCAAACTAAAAAGACCACAGGAGGGAAGAAGAAAACTGCAGCATCATTCCTGACCTGCATGCATGGACCATCAAAGAACCTTCATGGTCATTCATCGGTGTGGACAGACAGCAGAGAGGCGGGGAGGGAGGGAATGCGGTGTTGTGTGATTAAGTGTATAGAAAACATGCAAACATGGATGTATCCTTCCGGCGCAGCGCAGCACCTTGTCAACAGCATCCATGCAGCAAATTCCCTCCTTCCCCCCCTCCACACACACCCCCACCCCCCTCTGCCTCATATCACTCATGCATGCATATCATTATGTGAATTGATGGACCTGACTTAATGCATAATCACACGCACCCACCCATGAGAGGACACGAATGAGTGGTCCCTCCCTTCCCTGGCTGGTATTGCGTACGTGCGTGCGTGCGTGCGTGGCAAAGCAGTGAATGGACATGCGTAAGTGTACAGGCAGGCAATGGGCGAGATGGATCCATACATGAATGGATGTATCCGTGTATGGATGTAGCAGAATGGTGTGTGCGACGAACCAATTGAACAAGTCCATGAAGAGACTTCCAACACAGCACAACACAACACACGGCACACACAACACACGCCGTACGTATATTACCTCCTCCTTACACTTTACAAAAATCTGAAAACGGCCGTTCCACGTCCGTCCATCAACCTGTCCGTCGTTTTGTATTCCATGCAGCCAGCCAGCACTCATTCATCCATCAGGGCATTCATCGTACGCACGTAAACGTAACGTAAATAGCGTACCTTAGCCTGCCTGCATCAAGCCGCACGCACAAGCACCATGCACGCATCCATACATCAATCCATGTATTCATACATGACCTGCTTGCACCCACGCATAACATAACACAGCAGCAAACGCACGTGACGCAAAAATCCCCTTGTTTATGCATTCATTACTTTGTTCTCTTCTGCATGCATGGCCACGACACGACACGACCTACATACAGTTTACTGGCTTTCAGAGAGCCAGCACGGGGACGGGGAAAGCGACTGACTCACACACAGACAGACAGACAGACAGACAGACATGGGTGGGGAAATAATACACTTTTGTGTATTATAGGCTAGTTAGGAGAGACGACAGGCAGGCTAGGGAAGTAGGCAGCTTTGGCTTATCGGAGGGAGGACGAAAAGACAGGCAGAGAGTAGAGGCAGGCACATGCATGACCGAGACAGGAAAGTACCTACCTACCTGTGTGTAGGTATGCATTCATCCATCGATCCATCCATCATGATATCATCCATCAATGCAGGGACGCACGAACGCACACCATATCCATCCATCCATCGCGCCACTCATGTCATGGGTATGTAGTATCTGTATGTGTACCTGCCTGCCTGCCATCTGTACTTGCATCCATCCATCCACCCATACATCCATCAACGCATGTACGCATGCCACACACATGCCATCCATCCATACCTTCTTGTGCCACGATGTAGTTGAAACAAACAGTACTTGGCCTGTCGTCTATCTGCCCAGCCAATCGATAGGCAAGCACATATATACGTACCCCACTTACCCTCACGCGCACACGCACGTACCAGTGTGCCTCTGTCTGGCTGCTCTGGTGTACTTGGCTGGTTGAAAAAGCCACAATGCAGCAGCACGCGTGACTGACCAATCGACTGACTGATATGATATCAGCGAACGAAAACAGATAAATGGTTCACTCTCGACTGACTAAAGCCTATCTGGTATACCACTAAGTGTGAGTGGGTGGGGCCGCCGACTATGCCATGTCTCTTTCTTCGTGTGTTGCGTGCAGTGCTGCGTACAGTGCTGTGTTACAGTGCTGTCCTCCTTCACTTTAGGCAGTGTACATCACGTCGCCGGCTGAAGAAGGCTTGCATTCTCACATACATGCAGACATACACGCACATGCAGACATGTATGTATGTATGTATGCGTGTATCCATACATGCAGACACCACACCACAACGGATGAACGAGTGAACGGTGAAGTAGGCACACACACACACACACACACACACAAAACACAGGTAGCAAGTGAGTGTAGTAGCATGGATGCATGAATGCAGCAAGTGCACAATGAGTGAGTGAATGAGTGGGGACGTACGAACCTCTCTCCCGTCTCTCTCCCCTCGCCGCTCTGGACTCTTCGCTTATTCTCTCGCTGCAGGTGACTAGGGACCACGTGGGATGCAATTAGTGTAAGTAGAGCTGGCTAGAAGAGCAGAAAAGACCAGCCACTTCTACTGTATGCATGTACAGGAAGAGATTCAGCCCTGAGTCGTCATAAAAGCAACACCGGCCAGATCGATGTCCACACACACGCGACGCCATGGCTGGCGCATACATGAAGCATTGCAGCACACACGCACACACGCCATGACATGACATGCCTTTCGGCTGCGTGTCTGAGCGTGTGTGCGCGCATCTCAGCTGCCTGCCTGCCCGTAATAAAAGCAAAAACATCAACACACACAAACACACGGCGGCTTGGCCGGTCATGGCCAGCCAGCCATGTCGACACGACGGACGTGAATGAAGAAAATAGAATGCCGGATGGTCTACATTATACAACATATCCCCGCCCTGCCCCATAATGACATCCAGGAAGCTCACCGGCAGCTAGCGCCTGACTGTACGGATGAGACAGTCATCTCACCCTTTCGCTGCTGGCCTGCCTGCATACGCGCGCACACTTCCCTGCTGCCTGCACAGAGCATCCCTTATATCACTTCCTCGCTCGACTCAACCTCCTCCGCACCCTGGGCATCTTCGATGGGGCGCAAAGAGAGCTCTGGATCACTGGCCAAGACAGAGCCCTCTCTGATGGGCTCTCCCTTGTCTGTCAAGGTTATCTATCTCTTTCTTATTCAGGTGCTGGACGAAATCTACTTCTTCGCGCGCGGCGAGCGTGTGCTGGCGGTGACCGCTAATATTGGAGACGGGCGGAGCTTCGACATCAACCTCCCGCCGGACAACATTCCGCAAGCCTTCCGGGGACAGCGCTATTTTGC